GGTTGTGGGCTGGGGTCTTCGCCTGGGATGCTGGGACACGGCTCTTGGCGGACGGCGGCGTGCCGGGGCGCTTGTAGTCGGGTGGTGCTGGAGCGATGGGTTGTTGGTTGTTTTGACCGCGTGAGTGTGTACTTCCCCGAGCGACATGTGAGGATGGCTGGTCCGAGGAAGGGAGGGGTGGAAGGGCAGTTCTGGAGTCGTTCGAGGGAGGGATGATACCCGCTTGTTCCAGATATTTAGGGTTGACACGTACGCGACCGAAATTAGCAGGTAGGACGAACATCATTTCTAAACCGCCGATCTCGATGACCTCGCCGCTGCCGAGGCAATGGGGATCATCTGATTTCCGCACAATTTCATCGTCGACCCTGAGACCGTTGCGACCTTTCGCTTGAAGGAACCACTTTCCAAGTTCGGGGTCAAAGTAGATCATAGCAGTCTGACGCGAGAATGTCTTGGACGGACCAAGATCGATGTGAACGAAAGAAGGATCATCTTGGTCTTGGGCGTCTGTGTTTCTTCCGATGTTGACAGACGTAGATTTGATGTAGTATGTCCAGTCCTGTGCTGCTATCTTGGCGTAGGCGGCGATGCCCTTGTTGGACTCATGAATGGCATTGGCATGGTCCTTGCTCGCATGCGTAGGAAGGCTGCGTAGAGATTGCGCGACCTGGGTGACCAAGTTGTCGTCGTCTTCGGCGTCTACATCGGCTCCAAATTCGGCGCCGTCAGCAGCGGGCGTGTCGATCGTCAAACTTGAACTTTCCTCCTCGACAGGCTCGGACGGCGGCTCTTCAGCCTAACGTGGAAATGTAGTCAGCACAGCTGGTCATGCGGAAGTGGGTAAGATATATATAAAGACAGACCTTTTTTCGTCGCTTGACAGGGCGCAAAGGCGACGACTGCTCAGCGACAGCAGGGCTGTGACTTCTATCTCGGGTCCGACGAGCCCTCTGGGATCGCTTGGAGGAGGGAGGCATGGTTAATGGGGCTTTGGTCAGGCAAGACCCATGACACTCGCTCGATTGAGGTAGTTTAAATGTAGAGTGGGAGAGTTATGAGCCGCAGAGGGCTGTAGTCTATCGCAAGGCGGCAGTACTCTATGGCAGGCTGAAGGCCAAGACTTGATGCGCAAGATGATGCAGGGTGTGGTGTGGTGGTGCTGGTGGGTGGTTGAGCTCGGCCTTGGTCCTGGTCCTGGTCCTGGTCCTGCACTTGGTTTACCTACCTAAGTAGTCTTCGTCGCAACTTCGCGCCGGTTATAAAGACACCCTCAATTTACTTGTCGCAAGCGGGCAAGCCAGCGGGGATCAACGAAAGAGACAGAAAAGTCTGCTGCAGGTTGACAGAGAAGTGGTCGTGGCAGAGATGTATGCTGCAATCTGCAATGAGATCGGGATGGTAATCAAGATAATTGCGAAGGTTGGTTTGGCGGGGGGCTCGATTTCAAGGCGCGGGCAGCGGAATTGAACAATCAAGTATGCGTAGTCTAATCGATTGAGACCTTGGTTGGGATAGGTATTATATTGATTGAGATAAGCCACGCGACGCGAAAAAGAAGAAAAGAATTCGAGGCGCGCCTTTATTACCTACCTCTTTTTACCCGCACTTTGTTTTACCCTTTCCCCAAGTAGGTACTACCAGTACTGTACTTAGACTAGCGCGATACTTAAAAGTGGCTGGCCCACGAATAGAGCCTTAGAAGAAGTACCGTACCCGGGTACACAATGGCTATTGCGTGGTTAGGGCAGGAGCTACCTAAGGATAAATTACCAAGAGTAAGGTACCTAATAACGTCGTCTACTACGCAGTATACACATAGTAGGTTACATGCTGTATTGATGTCAGGTGTACGCATATGTACGAATTATCTCATTAAGTACCGTTTCAGCTCCGTAACTAACAAGTAGAGTAACCCGGCTTCTTATATAACAATACACTTAATAAAACAATAATATTCGTCTCGGATAACACTTTTATTACGTGGTATTCTGTAGTATACCTTCTTATATACAAGAAACCTCGTTAGGTAGGTACTCGAGTTGTAAGTCACGGAGCGGGAAAGGCACTTAATCAGATGGCGGCAACCTAGGTATTTGTTAGTCAACACCTTTGTAAGCCAATGGCGCTATCCACTGGAAAATGGTATGCCTAGATACTTAGGTACCTAATATTAGTACAGAGTAAGTTTGTGTTCAAATCCAGGTAAGCACGTAAGTATTCTATACGTACAAAATACAATGCCGTCCATAATAACCAACCTCTTTATTAGATACCCCAGAGATATTCTAACCAGTGTACAGGGAAACCCAGGGAAACGACAACGGCAACATCTGGACCACGCAAAGCCAATATCCAAGTCAATAATCAATTTGATAACACCAACCCCGTGCATCCACTTTAGATCATGTGAATAATTGGGTGGCACGATGACTCGTCCGTTTGATTTGCCTTTGCATAGAAGTTGTTTTTATATCGTCTCCTAGATAGTTAAAACCTTCAAGTGGTCTAAGGAGACTGACGCTTCCATCACTAGTAATTGCATGTTAATCAGTTGCTAGCCGTAGTACCGCTATTGCAAACACCAAAGCTATGTAGTTACGCTCGCACCCACCAATTGCAAGAGTCTAATAGGAAAACAATTGACGAAGAATTACATCCCTTCGCCGCACCTACCACAGTATGAACTCCGTGCATAGCTGCATTATTCCCATCAGCTTATATAAAGTAACGCTGCGCGACAGACAGAGCGAGGGAATCTTAGACAGCAATATATTCAACCGATAGAAGTCAATAAAGTCTAAACAGCTCGCTAACCATATAGAGTTATAATTCTTTAAAGGTCACACCTTCTACAGCGCCAAGTCCCTTGAGGGCTGGCTTTAGCATGCAGGGAGAGTACCACAAAGATTACATACTGAGAATTCAGCGTTCTATAACCGTATGACTTTCCTAACGTGGAATCAAGTTTGCTCAAGCCCCTAGGTCTTGTTCGTGTTGCATATCAAAGCGTACCTATATAATTAGGTACTCAGTGTCAAATCAGATGAGCGCCATAAGAATGGGCGGTGGTGTATTATTATCCCCATGACAGCCCACGAAAGGCTAGATACCTCAAAAACACCTATTTTTGATATACTATATGTACCAGTTAACGCTCTTTGACTATCAGGGGCAATGCCTAGCTTATATAATAAACAGAGAATTATAAGTAATTTTAACAATAGTGCCTATATTGTTATAGTGTGAGAGGTTACCGTGTCCAGCAGGGTTGGATGTAGGATACACTCGTCGGCCCCCGTCTACACTACGACTTGGGAATCGAAATACAGCCGAGCAAGCGAGATACCTTTGCCGCTCTCTATGAAACCCCTCAGCCGTTCGAAGCTTAGACCATAGTCCAGATCAATATGACTGAGCCGAGAATATAGAGCCTGAGGTTCTTTGCGCCGATCAATTTTTTGACGACTGCTAGAGAACCCTTCCGCTCGGGCTAATTGCTAACCTTGATGTATTTGGGGTGACTTTCTTGTCCCTGAACAGGTAGACCTAGTAAGTTAGGTAATATGTCACTTGATAGTTTTCCTCGTTTATCTTTTGTTGGAGAATGTGTAGAAGGATCATTATGCCTTGCAATATCTCATCACCGGCATCCCCAAGCTTATTCATATCAGTGTCACGAAAGCCTATACGATTAAGCCATAACCTAAGCCTTAGTTCAAGGTCCGGTAATATAAAACTTAAGGCCTCACTTTGTTTTGCTCTAACTTAGTCAAGAACTTTGCGGGTGATAAGATTGCCTTGTAAAAATATGAAATCGGGCTCAATGAAGCCAGTGATTTCCGTCACGAGAGAATCGCAGTTACTATGAGTCGAGAGCAGTATTGTCAGAGGAATAAGTCACAGAGTGAATAGAAGTCCTGTCGCAGCTAGGTAGAAGGTGTAGTATAGGGCTCAATAGATAGATTCATTGATTCCTGACCTCCTAGATCTATAAGGGGGACCGAAGGTCCCTTATATATAGTCAAATCAATAGATATAACCACCCTATGGGGTGCTTGTTACTTTATCACCTGACAAGTATGCGATATCATAGATCATCTACCCTAGAGGTTTGATTCATAGCAACACCATCTACCGATTTTCTGTATTCAATTTTCAGGCCAGGGAAAAATGACTGGCTGTGGTTCGGAGTCTTCCCTAAGAATGTAATGACGTAAGTAGGTTAACTTTTTAGATTTAGACACAAATTCATAGATTCGAGACCTAGTCCTCAGTTGTCAATATGCGGTAGTTTGACTGAAATATTGGGGCGCTAGCTAGGACACGATCTGTCTTCGCCGGGGCAGACTTCTGTCGCAGTCGACGCTTTTTGACCAGGACAGCCGGACGGTGTACGCTGTCTCCTACGGGGAGATTGGGATGAGGTAGGCCTGGGCCGTTTCCGGTGAGAAACATGAGATATGACAGGCTGTCTGGCTGGATATAGACAACGTTGTGGTTTGTGATTCTTTAACCCACAGTTCGGACAGGGTAGAATCGTAAGGACAACTTGCGATCAGATGGCCTTCCTGTTTACAGTACACCCAGTAGTTGCAACGAGTACATTCACTTTGCCGAAACCCCTTGACGCCGCAACAGCGACAAACTAGTAGAAGATAAATCGGCATTGTGCTGTGCTTCGTTAATGTTGCGAAATGAATAGAGTATAGAGAGTACCTTAAGCAGGTAGATATTGTTGACTTCTTAAGCTTGTATAGAACTTATAGATAATTCCATCAGCATTATATAGTAAGCCTGCAATCCAAAGGAACAAGCAGCAAGCCAAGGCACTTTGGCGGAGTGGTTAACGCGCAGGCCTGCTAAGCCTGTTCCTTCGGGATCCTGGGTTCGAATCCCAGAGGTGTCGCTTTTTTTACCTTATTATTTTTAAGGCCTTTTTTATTTTTTTTTTAACTTTTTTTTATTAACAAAAAAATAATAATAAAAAATTAAAAAAGCGACACCTCTGGGATTCGAACCCAGGATCCCGAAGGAACAGGCTTAGCAGGCCTGCGCGTTAACCACTCCGCCAAAGTGCCTTAGCTTTCTTTCTGCTTTTTAATACTAGGTTATACCAAAGGTGTATTAAGTAGCTTTTCCGACAAGGTTCTTGTCCTAGTAGGTATTTAAATAGTATTATTTTTCTCGCATTTATGTATAATACTTTGCCCACAATATTAACAGGTTTTTAATAACGATATTAAACATTATATTATTGTTTTTATTTTCTGTAAGGATTAATTCTCACTTTCTCGAAATTGAAACAAGCGTCAGTTATTATGTGAATATGACCTGTATAGTATTACCTAGGTCTTGTTACCTACCTTAGATACTTTGATCACTAAAAACTTACTCGAATCCCCTTACACGAGGGAGGACAGAGAATCGACGACACCCAGGACTAGAGTCATGGCACCCAAGGGCATAGATTCACACCATCAGGTCATATTGTCCGCTTTGTAGCGGGATTTATGTAGAAAGGGCAAATCGTACTATATAATTATAGAGTAGACTTGTAGTAAAAGCATCCAGAACCTTTTTAGGCGGCGGCTAGACCCAGCCCTGATCGAAAACCCCACCAAGCAAACTGTTGCCCAGCCTTGAGGTCTGTTTGAGGGCTCATGAGTGACTCATTGGATAATTCGACACCGTGAACCCGAAATGTAAGAAAAGTGGTTGTGAGCACACATAATACAGTAGTTAAATGACATGATGTATGTACAAGCAGTGAAATGATAAATGTCTCCATACCACTATTACAGCAGACAGAGTTCCCCATAGGCCCCTTTGAGATGCTGCTTAGCAACATGATGTCAGAGGAAGTTCCAGGGTGAATAGAAGTCCTGTAGCAGCTAGGAAGAAGGTGTAGTATAGGGCTCAATAGATAGATTCATTGATTCCTGACCCTCTAGATCTATAGGGGGGACCAAAGGTCCCCTATATATAGCCAAATCCATAGATATAACCACCCTATAAGGTCTTGTTACTTTGTCACCTGACACATGAGTTTTCCCACATTGCCATGTCTATCGTTTGAATTGAAGAGATCATCCGCTTCCAGGAATCCCGTAAATTAATCTCCACTTACCCTCATAAATCCCTACAGTTGCACCATCTTCGTAGACAGGATCTAGAGCCGGCCTCTAAAGGCCTTCGGGACTCCCTGTCAAAGGAGAAGGTTACAGAGTGAATAGAAGTCCTATAGCAGCTAGGAAGAATAGTGTAGTATAAGCCTCAATAGAAAGATTCAATTGATTCCTGACTTTCTAGATCTATAAGGGAGACCGATAGTTCGTTATATATAGCCAAATCCATAGATACCCTATAGAGTCTGGTCACTTTATTACCTGACAGTCCCGTTGAATACAATAGTCTCCCTGTCGCGTAGTTTATTGTGTTGTTGCGTAGGGAACATGGGGTTGGCTTACGTTAACATCGTTCCAATGAGGGGCTCAAGTCACCGTGTGGTGGCTGTTGATGGCATATACAAATTAGATCAACAACTTACAACTTGAGTTGGGTGAGCTTCAAAATAGAGTAGCAAACTGAATGCCGCGAGTTGGATATGGATACGATTCTTTTTAATAATATTATTTCCTCGTTAGGTGTTACGCTTGTATACAGCTCTCTATGTATATCAATGTACATAGAAAGATTGAGATGGAATATCTCCCTATTAGAAACATCGTAGAGAAAATACGGATCTATTGGCCAAGTTTACACAATATACTAGAAAATCCGGCTTATTTTCATAGCGGCCTAGTAGGACACACTCATCAAGCGTGAAATATATTATTGCAGATGCCTTGAAGCACAGGGGCGTATCGTTAGGGTCAACTACTGGGTAGCAGCTCCCATTTCCTCATCTCAACTGACGCATTTAGCTGACAATAAGGACAATACTAGGCATAGACTTTGAACCAAATAAATATATGCTGTTACAAAGGATCGTATTTTCCAACAGATGAGTCGCGGATTTGACAACAGAGATTAAGACTGCGTTATTGCTCTAGTCTTAGGCTGCAGTCACCAGTTTTTTCTCGGGACAAGAATATGCTGTGACACCATTTGCTATCAAACAAAGAAGCCGTTGTGCACGAAGTTAGTAGAAACTCATAGCTTGGGCGCGGTGGGGAGTATCAATGATATAGTTTATATGGTAGAGTGACAAGAGCCCAACGATAGGCTTTGTAAATCTTCTATAAACTGGGAGGTAGTTGACTTTGGTGAATAAAAATAGGTATAGCAAAGGGTAAGACGAAATATAAGTATACTCTAGTATCCATATATTTACAGGTTTATGATTGTATTGTTTGTCTCTTGTAGTTCTCTACCTAGTAGCTATGCTGTACTCTAGTACAAGCACCTTCATACAAAGACTTCATGAGGCTCTCTTGAAGATGCTACACATATGCATCTAAGGTCGCATGAAGTACGGACAGGATCGATCTATATGGTCACTGTAAAATAACCAAAAGTCATATAAATAGTTGATACGAATATGCCATTTCGATTATAGAAATCATATGGATAATTTTACGGTGTCCTATTAAGAATTACACATATCGGCTTTACGCTCCCAGCTCTACCAAATGGTCTACACGTCCTAGAAGCTGAAGCACGAGCACATGGGCGCCCTTGTGGGGGTAGTGTATATCTTATGACCATCATAAACAAAAGCGTATATTTCGGTAATAATTTCTATCACTTAAAAGCCAAGAGGAATTGCAGGTACACTAGGCTATGTTCAAGAGTCTAACTTCCATGTCCTGTTCTACTATGGTGGCGAGAAGCAGCTAATGCACGCCAGTATGTAAGCCAAGGGGAAAAAAGAGAGTCCGGGCTCAGCCTATGGCAACCTAATGTTGTAGCTCTAGTATATGCGCAAGAGTTATATTTCCAAGTACGGGACCCAATCCGAACATAGACTTGTGCACAAGGCGGGTAATCACGCCATGCAATCGCCATTCGGCAAGGTCATTGTGCCTATAAGGTGGACTAGCGATCGACGGCAAGCTGGGCACGGACGACATAGCGCTGTACGTACAACCATGCGTAGACTACGCGTAGCTAGTCCCGTCGTTCTGCCCGTATGCCAGCTTCTGGAATCCCGAGATTTATGCCGCACGCTCGCTAGGCGCGGAGCTTCCAAGGCACAACCCCCTCATTGCTTTCTCAAATAGACCAACGGGGCCCTGGACAGGCAGTTTCAGAAGTCGATCTTTGTCCCTATCGGTGGGACCGGTTGTTGTTCCGGCACCGGCGAGCAAACGGGCATCCATCCTTGACGGACTGGTCCAACTCATCCATCTGATGTGAGGACTCTCAGACCTGGGGGAGAGAGGAGGAAGACAGCCTCGGATCTGCTGTCCCCCCGCGCAGTTCTTGTAAGTGCTGCTGCGTGTACTGCGTGTTCACGGGTCGACTGGAAACACGTAGATGCGAATACAGTAATCTGGATTGTACAGGGCCTGCCAGTCCATAAGGCCGAAACAATATTGGGAATCCCGTAGGGGCGGATCATGTACAACATGCGGGAAGGGCTTGGCCCATGGAACAGATCGTGGGTACATACGACATCAAGGACATACCAAATACTGAAACAGAGCTTACTTAGGTGTCAATGTTTCAGATGTTCCCCCTAGGAAAAGAGGCAAGTCAAAGCACAGGCAAGTGGTCCGCATCCGCACGCCAAGCTGGGAGGTATGGATGGGTTCTTCAGTGGCGTCGTAATGCGGCGGGGCTTGTCGTGATCAGGCACTTCGGAGCTAGAGCTGTAAACAACAATCCCAATCACACCTCATGGAAGGCCGGCAGAGTGTATGAAACGGGGGAGGGCTACGTCAACCAAGCTAGAAAGTTTCCAAGGAAGATATCACTGGGAGATGAAACAAAAACAGGGTCGTAGTCGAGAGGCACCGAGGACGCATGCATGCATGCGTGCATGGTAGCGCGCGCGTTAGTGGGCATAAGGCATTGCCAAGATGGCATTGGAACTCTGTGCCAATCCGAGTTACCATGTCAACATGTTAGCTACTGTTGAATAGGTAGGTAGGTAGGTACATACAGTACGCAGTACCTAGATAGTATTGGAAAAGGTTTAGGCAGAATACCTATATGTAGGTATGGTGACGGCTGGGGGAGTTATACTAGGTAGACGGATAGATAACTCGACAAGATGGCAAGTGTCTTGAAGCCGACGGCACGGTTCATGATGCCGCTAGATATCTATATCCGAGATGTTGCATTTTAGTCATAATATGATTGATCTCACAAGTAGGCCCTCATGCTGGTCTACTTGTATGACCCGGCTAGATCATCCAACTGGCAGCAGGCCAAGCCATCAAATGTCAATGGATAAACCCATCCTTGGGCCATGCCATAACCTAGGCGGGCCGACAGCCGGACCATTCATTGCCCCTGAGCCATTGTCCAATGAAAATGGCCTAGGTATGTCGACCTCTCTTTTGTAATCAACCCCACTCATTCTTGGTGTTTTTGTTTTTAGAGGACCGTGATTCTTGGTCCAATGCGGGCTCTGAACCCGACTACTTCGCACTTACGCACGACTTATAATAGAGTCTAGACTGTAAATAACCACACTAGATGCAGATACGCATAGGTAGATCACAAAAGCCAGTACCTGCATACCGTAGCAGCGTAATACGGCAAGCGAGCTGGCATGTGAGCGATGCTATCGCCGATAAATCGTGAGCTATGCCTAGACGAGGTTAGAGGATGTTTGCCTGGTGTCTCTTTCTGGAAGAATAAGAGAGGTGCCTGTTTCATGTTCCTGGCTAACGATAAGAGGCGTCGTCGGGATGATCGATCCTCCACATTACTACTACCTAGGCATAGCGTACGTATGTACCAAGTGGACTACGAACCTTGCACTCCACACGGCACATAATTTGTATGTAGGTACACGAGGTATAATCCCAAGTCGGTAGGCGTCTGTTTCAAAAGTTCCGTGCAACATCATTTTGGGGTTGTTGACCCGAGGCCAACTGTACGCTACTACCTGCAAGTAGACATTTCC